CTCGCTCCCAGGTCGCGCGGGTCACGGCCCCGCGAGGTCATTGTTCCTGCGCGGCGCGCGAGGCCTCTGCCGGTGGCGCCCGAGCTGAGCGCCGCTGTAGTCCCCTCCACCCCGCCCTGCCGACTCCGCAGATACTTCTGACACCCGGCACAGTTCTGTCAGTTTTTTTTCCCCTCGTTATGTAGTTCAGGCTGGCCTTGAACTCACATGTGTGCCCAGGCTGGCCTCAAACTCAACGACAATCCTCCTGCCTCAGCCTCCGGAATACTGGGATTAGAGGCATGCGCCACCAAGCCCTGCTACATTTTTTCCCCCTTTATTTATTTATTGTGTGTGGTTCCTGTTGTACCTGGCTGAAAAAAGTCACCTCCCTCTCGGTGGAAATGGTGTAAACCCCTCGATGTGTTTTTCACTCTGGCAAAAGTTTAAAACCAGCCGGTTTTCCCTGCCACTTTCTTTTTTCCCCTCACGCTCGGCACCCTGCCTTTGCTTTCCATTTGGAAGGGAATGCAACCAACTTTTTTGTTGACCAAAACACAATACAATTAAGAAGATAATTCTGCTATAAATAACCGTGGTCTGCATTCCAAAACTGTGAATGTTGCAGTGAAAACAGCTCTGGTGTATTATTTCGGGAGACTTGAGTTCGAGTCCAGTCTAAGTCATGTATTAGGCTTTGACCAGAATTACTTTAGGTTTAATCTTTGTAAGAGGGCGCTACTGTGTGTTCCAAAATATTGCAGTTTCAGGAGTTACAGGGAATAATGTGCTTTGAAAGTATTTTTGTGTTAGGTTATTTTGTTGTTGTTGTTGTTGTTTTGAGACAGGGTCTCACTATGTAGTTGACCTGGAACTCACTATGTAGGCCAGGCTGGTCTTGAACTCACAGCGATCCTCCTGCCTCAGCCTCCTTAGTGCTGGGATTACAGGTGTGTGCCACCATGCCTGGAGTGTGTTAGGTTATTTATAAAGGTCTAAAGTTTTGAAAGAGCTTCGTAAAGTCATTTCCACTTCCCCCAACTGACTTAATTTAGGATTTTAACACTCCTTACAGGCATAATTATGAAGCTAGAACTTCTTACCCCTGCTTCCACATTGAGGATTTCAGGGCCTTTGCTACATCCTCTGTTCTTTTTAATTTAATTTTATTTAATTATATTTTATTTTGAGGTGGGCCTTGCTGCATCTCTTAGTTGCCCAGGCTGGGCTTTAAATGTGTAATCCTGCCTCAGCCTCCTGGAGTCCTGGGATTACAGGAGTACACCACCACGCTGGCTACTTCTCACTTTCAGGAAATTCCTTCTACCCCTTTATGGAGTCAGCCTTCTTGTTTGCCGCTGATGATTTCCCAAAGGGACACAGAGAGATTTTACTTTGTATCTCTTCTGGATATCTCTCCTGGATATATTTGCCATGCAGCTTTTAATTAGCTTTAATAATAAGTGGCCTAACAATAAACTTGCCTTACCACTTTAAATAGGACTTGATAAAATAAGTTGTAAGTTCAGAAGTCAAACACATGACCCTGTGTGGCTGTTTTATCATACCAGCTTGTCTTTCTTGCCTGAGCTGAGCTGCTGCAGATTTGGGCATCTGGTGCAAGGCAAGTGGTATGTGTGCTGGAGAACTTATGCAAGACAGCTGAGGCTGGTTTGTGATTCTTTCAGGGAGTGTGTGCAAAGGTAATGAGCCGGCATGTGGGAGTGTAGTAGAGGAGGGAACTGAATTCAAATGAACTGCTCATCAGTCTGGGAGAACTTGGGATCTTTCCAAATTACAAACAAACAGAACTTTGGGACTGGCTTGCCAGCTCTTGATGATACCAGCTGCCAAGGGCGTGCAGGAAATGTCGAAGCCAAGGAAAAGACAATCCTGGGCTAAGGAGAAGGCCGTGTGGAATGTACACTGTGTCTCCTGCAGCTGGTCTGACGGGCAGCTACCCTGGGTCCTCCTCATTTGCATGTACAGATTTGCCTACCCGCTGGAATTTGTTTGCAGCCCAGAGCAAGGACTGCAGTGCTGTGCTGTCTGTGGTGGACATTTGGGTGTAGGGAGAGGGAAATTTGAGGCTTCCTGGCAAGGCAGAACCCACAGCCCCCTTCTGCTCGTTTGTGCTTTTTGTTGGTGAGTTTGACATTGCCTCCAGGTGTGGTGCTGAACGACTCCCTGGGGTTCTTCAGCCAAGAAGTGTGTGGGTGCTTTATTGAGAAAATCTGTGTTAGATAAGCTTGAAGCTGGGTGTGGCAGCACACAAGCCTGTAATCGCAGGACTGGGAGGCTGAAGCAGGAAGACTGCAAGTTCCAGCCCAGCCTTGGCTGTATAAGGAGACCTGGTCTGGAAAAGAAAGGATGGGAGTGTAGCTCAGTGCAGACACCCTGGGCTCCATCTCAGCCGCTCCAGTTGTTTTGGGCATGAATTAACAGAGCTGTTGGCCGTGAGTTCAGCATTAAGGAGTCAACAATAGACAGTCGATAAGATGACTTGACACAGAAACTCACATAAAAGAAAGCTGTATATTGATCAGTTAAAAATGTGAGGCTGAAAGAGCTAGGCTCAGAGTATGTGGAGATTTTATAGAACGTAATTACGATGAATGATGAGAACAGAATCATATTTGCTGACAGAGCTGACCGACCTAATGATGTCCTGAGGTGGGTGATGTCACCCAGGCTTGAGAGGCTCAGGCTTGAGATTTAGGGACAGCGGGAGAGTTAGGCCTGGGGTTACAGGAAGTTCAGCAGCCTGAGCTGGGATGCAAGTTCCGACTCACCTCTTATTCTTTTTTGGTGTTTGATTTTATTAGCACAGGGTCCCAGTGTGCAAGCATCACGTGCCTCATGGGGCGTCGTCCATGCACATAATGCATCTTAATTCTTTTTTCATCCTCTTCTCCCCTCGTTCCATCTCTTGGTGCCCTTCCCCTTTGCAAAAGATCGCTCCCTGTTTCCTGTGATCTTTTACTTTGTTCTTTACTTATACTTTGGGTTTCTTAAATAAGAGAAACCGTGCAATTCGGAAGTGTGTGTGCCTGATTTACTTGGCTTAATGTTAAAGTCTCAAGTGCACCGTTTTCCTGCAAGTACTTGAGTGTGTCTTTATGGCAGAGTAGTGCTCTGTGTGTGTAAACACCGCGTTTTCTTTATCCATTCATTTGCAGATGGACATACAGGTGCTTTGTGAGTGGTGCTTCTATGGATGTGGGTGTGCATGTATTGTTGCATTATGATGCTGTGCTTTCTGAAACAGAGGTTTTGAAAAGAAGAAAGGCTAGATTATTTATAGTAGCCTCCCTGTGAGCCAGAAGAGCACAGGTCATTTTTATCGGGGCGGCAGCAGTGTTGGAAAGTGATGGGAACTGGCTGTCTGCTTGGTAAGTCAAGGCTTGGACAGATAGCTGTGCCAATGTGGGGCCTCCTTAGGGATGTGGAGGAGCGTGCCTGTGTTGGGAGCCCGAGGAAGGTGGCCCAGGCTGCTGGGTCCCCTGGCAGCTTCCATGCAGTTGACACTGAGGCTCGTAGTTATGGCCTGATGGCACTGTTTGCTGGCTGCTGTAGCCAGGGTTATCCTGATGACTGAAGGTTGCATCCCAACCTCCCCACAGGGCTGAGGAGGTTCACCCAAACCAGCTGGGGGCCACTTTTATCACCCCAGAACCT